TAGTTTATGCTATGTCAATAATGTCCCAATAAAATTATTATCTAAAAATTGCAGAACTGGCTTGGTGCCTGTAGCTCAAGCAGCTAAGGCACCAGCCATAAACACCAGAGCTGAAGAGTTTGAATCCAGCCCAGGCCGGCCAAACAACAATGACAACTTCAACCAAAAAATGGCCAGGTGTTGTGGCAGGCACCTGTGGTCCCAGCTACTTGGGAGGCGGAGGCAGGAGAATAGCTTGAGCCCAGGAGTTGGAGGTTGCTGTGAGCTGTGATGCCAGGGCACTCTACCCAGGGTGACAGCTTGAGGCTCTGTCTCCAAAAAAAATGAAAGAAAGAAAGAAAAATTGCAGAACTGTTCATGTTGAAGCTTGTGGGAGAAATACCTGGAGTCCCAGTTTAAATCTCCTTTTGAATCTTTTTCAAAGGAAGACCTTTGAAATTAAATCTAGATGAATGTGGGCATGAAACTAAAAGCAAAATATCAAAACTTATAGTAGAAAATGTCTGAGAATATTTTGGACTTGGGGGTAGGGATGGAATTATTATTTTTTTTGAAACACAGTCTCAAGCCGTTCCCCTGGGTAGAGTGCCATGGTGTCAAAGCTCACAGCAACCTCCAACTCTTGGCTCAAGCAATCCTCTTGCCTCAGTTTTTCTATTTTTAGTAGAGACGAGGTCTTGCTTTTGCTCAGACTGGTCTTGAACTTGTGAGCTGGAGCAATCCACCCACTTCGGCCTCCCAGAGTGCTAGGATTACAGGTGTGAGCCACCGCACCCAGCCAGGGATGCAATTCTTAAATAAGACACAAAAATTGCTCACCATTCCCATAATCAGTCTAAAACCAGTCTCATTTCCACTCTTTCACTGTTACAAACAACACTGTGATAAATATACTTAGACACCACATGCATTATGTTTGTCTGGTTTTCCATAACACTTCCAGATTAAGGTCTTGGGAAACTCACAAATGGCCTTATTAACAACACAGAGGGAGAAAAACCAAGATCCAGCAGAGCTTGTCTACAAATACAACTGGGGGCACTAGCTGGGCGTTGTGGCGGGCGCCTGTAGTACCAGCTACTTGGGAGGCTGAGGCAAGACAATTGCCTAAGCCCAGGAGTTGGAGGTTGCTGGAGCGACTCCACTGCACTCTACTGAGGGTGAAAAAGTGAGACTCTGTCTCTACAAAAAACAAACAAACAAACAAACAACTGGGGGCACGTGGATTCCCATTTTATGTGAAAGCACAACCTTTTCTCTTCTCTATTAGTCTTAAAATCAACCTTGAATATATTCTTAGACCTGCTGGGCTGATGGTCTCCGGGCTTCTTTCCTTCCTCATGGTCTGGATCTAGGTACTAAAGGTAGGAATTCATTGGAAGAACCTCTGGCACCCCCTGGACAGCTATTCCCCTGAAAGAGCTTTGCAGGAGAGATGGAGAGATGATATCGCCAGGAAGACCCAGGTCCCCAACTCTTCTGGGTGGTTCATACATCATCCTATAGTGAGAAAAATCAGATCAGACATCAATACTATTAAATATTTCTACAAAGCTTTCCATTTCTCCTACTGTTCTTAGAACACTGAGCTGTAGGAATTTTCTGTCTCAATAGAGAACTGAGGGGGAGGAGAAGGGTTTATTCTAAAGACATGTGCAGTTCAGACCAGTGTGAATCCACGCCAGCCCAGGTCTGGGAACTGGAAAGCCACAGGGACCAGTGGGGACTGTGGTGGGCAAGGCTGGATCCTGGGTGAGGGGTAGCTGCAGCTCAGCCCCAGCCCACATTTATCAGAGGAGGCTGAGCCCCATGAGGCACGATCTTTTGAACTGAGGGAGAAGCCAGAAATCTGGATTCTCTAATATATTGCTTCTCAACAGTGACTGGTCCTGCGGCTCCCATGGAACATTTACCAACATCTAGAGATATTTTTTATATCATCTTTGGGTAAAGGGTGTAACATGAGCATTTATCTGGTAGATTCCGGGGTGCAGCTAAATAGTCTGCAAAGCACCAGACAGCCCCTAACCACAGAGCATTATCTGATGCAAAATGCTGATAGTTCCAAGGTTGCGGCCCTCTGATCTACTGGAAAACATCTCAATTATAAACAAAGCCCTCTGTAGCCATGCCAAGTACCTCCATGGGCTGCCTTTGCCACTTCTGGAGTCGACAGTCATGTTGTCTTCATATACTAACGGGCTAGGGGTGGGGGCAAGCTACAGGAACAAGGAGTAGACACTTAGCAGCCCCGGCGGTGCCCCAGGAGACCAGTTCTACCTGTGTTCTCCAAAATGATAAGCTCTGGAAAGTCCCCCTTCGTCTGGAAGTTTCCCCTTTAAAAAAAAACGGGGGGCTTTATTGAGATCTAATTCACATACCATTAAGTTTACTCTTTTAAAATGTACAACTCATTATTTCAGTATATTCCCAAAATTGTGTAAGCATCACCACTAATTCTAGCACATTCTCATCAGCTCACAGAGAAGCCCATGCCCATTAGCAGTCACTACCCTGACCCTACTCTCCCCATCCTCTGGCAGTCACTTCCGAAGGGGACAGATAACTGAGATAGGAATTGTCCCCATGGATGGATTTCCTTGTTCTGGACACTCCTGTGGCTGCAGTCACACAATGTGTGGCCTTTCTAGCTGCTCTCAAAGCTCAGCCACTCTGCAGTGTGGTCAGAACTTGTGCCTATTCATGGCTCAGTCATGTTCCCTTCATGGATGGACCACATTCCACCCACTAATGGGTGGCACTGTGGGTTGTTCTTTCTTTGTGTCTCTGTTGGGTAACGGATCTGTAAGCATGTATATGGCTGTAGGTCATTATTTCTCCTGCATTTGTATTGAGGACTCAACCTGGTGGACCCTATAGTCACTCTGGTCACATTGTGAGGAACTGCCAGGCAGTTTCCATAGGACTGCTCCATCTTAAATCTCACTACAATGTGCAAGGCCTCATCTCGCCACATGGCCACCCACACATGCATTTTTCATACTTGTTATCATAGCCATCCTAATGAGTGTGAACAGATAATTTCCCCTCACTATCCTTGGTGGCTAATGATGTTAGTCAAATGTCTTTTTCTGTGGATAGAAACTTGTCACCAGATGGGGGAGGGGTGTCACTGACTATCCTGTGCTGTCCTTGGACCCAGCTGGCAGCCACCCTGAGCACAGAAACTACAGCTCAGCCTGGGCCCGCCCTGCAGCTGCCTCCTGGGGATGAATAGGCTTTGTCCCTGCCTGGGGCCCTGTGCTCCAGCCCTGGGGACACGAAACTAGGAGGTGTTGGCTCTGGGCACGTCTCATCTCCAAATACTGCCAGCTGAGGCGGGGGCTCAGGAGGCTCTTTGCCTCTGTCTCCGCCTCTGGACCTGCCTGGTCTCTCTCCAGAGTAGCCTGGGGACCCTGGCACAGCTGCCCTGGGCTGACAGGGTCCCTGAAGACACAGTCAGGACTCTGGAGCCCTCTCCAAAGTCTACAGAGGAGGCCTGATAGCATTGTCCTTGGCTGTAAGTGCAAGTTGGCCACAAGAGAAGGAAGTACAACTTCTAATGGCCCTGGGATTTAGAGGCCACCCAGCGCCAGCTGAGGCCAAGCTCCAGATGTGTCCCAGCCCCCAGGTCTCAGATCGAGGGTGAGCTCCCAGGTAAGAACCCCTGTCATCATCCATCAAGAGCACCCCACACAGGGGCTGCTGCATCACGGCCACAAGGCTGCTCTTCCAGGCATGTGGCTGTGCTCTATGCTTCCCCCCCTTGTGGGAGCTCTCTCTGGGGTGGCCTTTTCTGGGCCAACAGGCTGGCGGGCACCAGGGAAGAGCCCCCACTTTGACCGCCCTGGGGATGTGGTGGTCGGAGGCAGCTTCTCCATCTTCCACTTCTACAACGTCACCCTGTTCAACTTCACTGCCCCTCCAGCTGGGCTGGCATCTTCTGGGTGAGTGGGTCCCAGGGGCTGGGGATCCCTTAAAGGCTGAGAGCACCTCCCAAAGCTCTGCTTTGAGGCCTCAGGCAGCTGCAGACCTCAGGTCCATCCTGTCTCCTAGGTCCAACTTCTGTACCTCTCTCCTCTCTGCTTTCTTGTTTGTACTCATTCATCTAAAACAGGTTCCTTTTCTTGTCTGCTCTGCAGGAACCCCACAGGTCAGGCAGGGACTCTTGTGTCTCTTGGTCACTGCTAACCCTTGATGCTTAAAATAGCACCAGGCACAAGGTGGGAGTGTTTGCTGAAGTGTCAGTGGATGAATAAATATCTTCCTGAGGGGATCAGCCCCTGGGCATCCCCTCTGCCATTCACCCATCCCCTATTTCTGTATTGGGTTTTCCAAGTTGTCTTTCCTGACATATGGAGTTCCTGGTACAGTTCTTTTGATGTCTTGTCTTTTTTTTTTTTTTTAAGTGGAATGAATGTGATTGAAAAATAGCCAAAGTGTTTTACAAACTAACTGCACCATGTTGCATTCCCACCAGAAAGGCACAGGGCTTCCTGTTGCCCCACATTCTTACATCTCTTGATGTTAGTTTAGGTTAGTTTTTCTAATTGATGAATAATAAGTGTGTATATTTTGAGAGTACAGTGTGAATTTCTGATACAGGTATATAATGTGAAATGGTCAAATCAAGCTGATCAATACATCCATCACCTCGTATACTTATTACTACTTCTGATGATGCAAACATTTGAAATCTATTCTCTCTGAGACTGTAAAATGGCCATTAATTATTATTAACCACAATAAAGGTGCCATGTAATAGATCCTGAACTTAGTACTCCTGTCTCACGGAAACTTGGTGCCCTGGGACTTGCTATCCTTGGCCTCCCACCTTTTGGCTGCTCTGATGGATGCTGCCCTGCACAGTGCATTGTGCACAGTGTCTGTAGGGCCAGATGTGGTCACCCACCTTAGGTATGTGTGAACCTTGGAATCACTGGCCATATCCACACCACAGTAAACAGTCCACTTGGGCTTCTCTCTCCCTCAGAGTCTCCATGTGGGGATACCGGGTGGCACAGAGTTTCGTCTTTGCAATTGAGGAGATCAACAGAGACCCCCACCTGCTGCCCAACCTCACACTGGGCTTCTCCATCTGGAACTCAGGGGACTCGGTGCACGGAGCTCTCCATGAGACCATGGGCTTTCTCACAGGGGTTGAGGAGCCTGTCCCCAACTACATGTGTGGGCTCAGCCCTCCCCGGGCTGCCCTGGTTGGAGACACACGCTCAGCAGTGTCTATCCCCATGGCCAGGCTCCTGGGGCTCTACAAATTTCCCCAGGTGAGTCATCCACAGCCTTTTCCTGTCACAAGCAATAACGATGGTAACAAGAACAATGGTGGTAAGTAATGTTAGGACACTGCCACTATGGGCCCACGTTCCCTGCTAAGGCTGTGTGGGCCTGACACTATTCTCTTCCTCACAGTAACCCTGTTTTGGCAGCCCTACAATTCCCACTACACTGATGACAAAACAGAGGTTGAGAGAAAAATCAAGGACGGGTGCAGTACACTTAATGGGGGAGATACTGGAGCTGGGAATTGGATCCAGACCAAAGGGCTCTGTCTCTTCCCAAATGAGGCTTCCTAAACCTCAGGTCCCCATAGTACTGGCCATATCAAAGGGCCACCTTTTCTTTCTGCTGCTTTTTTTTTTTTTTTCTATTTTGAGACAGAGTCTCACTATAACACCCTGGGTAGAGTGCCTTTGTGTCACAGCTCACAGAAACCTCCAACTCTTGGGCTTAAGCGATTCTCTTGCCTCAGCCTCCCAAGTAGATGGGACTACAGGTGCCAGCCACAATGCCCAGCTATTTTTTGTTGCAGTTGTCATTGTTGTTTAGCAAGCCCTGGCCAGGTTGGAACCTTCCAGCCTCGTGGTACGTGGCTGGTGGCCTAACCACTGTGCTACCGGCGCAGAGCCAACAGTGAATAATTTTTTCCACCTAAGTTTGACCCGAATAGTTCACAAGACGGACTTACACTAAAACATTATTTCTCATTTACCTGAAGTTCAACTGTAGCCAGGGATCCTGTGTTTTCATTTCCGAAATCAGCAGTCTAGGGACCCCGAGTCCGCACAGTGCTCGCGTCACCACGCCAGCCCCGTCGGTGCGACCTTTGTCCTCTCAGCCACCGAGAGGCTGCTGCTTCCTCCGCCTCAGACTCGGGCCAGAGCGAGCACGCGCAAGGCCCAGAGGTGCCTGGTCCCGGGCGTATGGAGCTGTCTCTTCCCGGCGGCAGACACTGCCTGCTGAACTGTCGCCTCCCACACCCCTCCGCGCCCTGCCCCGCACCAAGGGAGACCCCGTCCCCGTGAGACCAGAGGCGGGGCAAGAACAGGCAGGAACAGACATAGGACGCAGCAAGAGGAAAGACTGGGGGCAAAAGGGAACCTGGCAACCCCGCGGGGGTCTTGGCTTGGCTGGCAGGTGCGAGGCCCAGGAGCTTCTTCCCCATAAAGTCTCCTGCAAACGCTCTTGCCATGAAACATGGGCCCTGGAAAAAGTTTCAGTCAACAGGCAGAGGGAGAAGCCGGTTGGAGCGTCTGTATTTTGAAAAATGTGATCTAGATGGTTCCCCATGGGTCAGAACCTGGCCACTCAAGAGTGTGGACCTAGGATCAGGGTCAGTGGGAAGGGTGTCAACTGCTGACCTGGCCCATAGGCACAGAGTCAGTGCCCGGAGGAGGCCTCAGACTGACCCTGGGGTCTCCAGACTGGGCCATCCAGCAGCTGCACCAGAGAGGCCTTGAGGATCAGGTTCTGACCCCCTTTGGCTCTGGGGGTGCTCGTGGGAAGTGGGGCTTTCAAAGGCAAAGGGGGGACCTGTCCAGGGCATCCTGGTTGAGGGGTCACCCTCACTCTGCCCACCTTCCCTCCTTGCAGCCTGACTGTCAGCCATGAAGTACCTGACCTCCTGGTTCTCACCCTCCCCTGTTGCCCTCCTCCTGTCTCATGCAGGTCAGCTACTCATCCACCCTGGCCAGCCTCAGCGACAAAACCCAGTTCCCATCCTTCCTTCGGACCCTGGCCAGTGACTTCACGTTCTCCCATGCTCTGGCCCAGCTGGTGCTTCACTTCCGATGGTCCTGGGTGGGCATTCTGGCACAGGATGATGACTTCGGGCAGCAGAGCAGCTCTCAGGTGACCCGGGAGCTGGCCCAGGCCAGAGTCTGCATTGAGTTCCACCTCCACATCCCATCCCTGCAGTCCCTGGAGAAGATCAACACTATCGTCCACAAGATGGAGAAGTGCACAGCCACTGTTGTGCTGGTCTTCCTGAGCAACTCAAATTTCCAGGACATCCTGCAGCGCCTGCTGAGATGTGGCATCTCGGGCCAGGTCTGGGTCAGCCAGGACACTCTGCACACAGGGCTGGCCCTAACAATGCCAGGCGTTTCCCAGGTCCTACAGGGCTCCTTCAGCCTTCTGCAGCACCGCAGCCAGGCCCTGGGGTTCCCCGAGTTCCTCTCTCGTCTGCATCCCACCAGGACCCCAGAAGACATGTTCCTGAAGAAGTTCTGGGAGGCCACCTTTGGATGCACATGGCCAGTGGGAAACAGCACGGTGGTGGGGGGAGTGCAGTTCTGCTCAGGAAAGGAAAGTCTAAGAGGCCAGGAGCACCCTTTCCAGAAAGTGAGTCGAGTAGACATCGCATACTCAGCAGTTTATAGCATTGCCCACGCCTTGCAGGACCTAGTGGCTTGTGAGCAAGAGGACCAGGCATGCACAGACACTCAGCACCTCCAGCCCTGGCAGGTGAGAGAGAAATGTGGCAGTGAATGTTTCAGGGAAGGTCAGAGGGCCAGGCATTCACTTGGTCCAAGCTATGGAGGCAGAACAGAGGCAGCGCTCTGCAGGGAGGATGCTTATGCTCACAGCCCTAAGCATCTAGCAGGAACACTTGATGAGGAGTCTTAAGTCCACACTAGCTGTCTGACCTGAGATGAGGCACATCCATATGGGGTTGCTCTAGTCAGCAAATACAGGATATCTGGTTAACTCTCAATTTTCAGATAAACAGAAATTTTTAATAAGTATATCCTAACTATTGCATGGAGATAAAAGGAGGCATCCTTTCATCTGACATTCAAATTCAACTGAACCGCCTGTATTTTATCTGGCAACCCAACTTCCATGTATGAATCTCAATAACTTTATCTCAAAACATAACAAAATAATGGTTTCACAGTGCTGTGGGGAACCATAAGTCAGATGATGGTGCAACATCCCTTTAAAAATTCCTTGTAGATGGGAGTTCACCCACGTAGAAGACGCTGGCACCCTCATGAGGCTCACCTGTATAGCAGTTGCTGGGGACTGGGGAACAATCAAGGTAGAAGTTGTTGTGTTTGCATCTGTGGGCCCCATCACTCCAGGTGTAAGACAGAGAATATATTCTTGGGTCCTGGTAAGGATTATGGGTTTAGAATAGAGCCAAGCAGTCAGTGAGCACTGAATTGTCCTCTTAGGCTGTTATAACTCAAGGCATCCCACAGAATCCAGGTGAAGGGTTGTGTAGCTCTTTGCACACCTGTGCACCTGATCTCCAGCACAAGCAGATGGGCCCAGAGGTTGGTCAGGAGCCTTCCAGGTACCCAGCTGAATCCTGATCCAGGGGCTGGAGAAAGTTCCAGCCTTTTAATAGACAGGTTGCTGCCCTCTGTGAGCAGCATGTTTGAAACATTTAGGATTGTTAACTTTCCTCATCAAGACTGTGATTTCCACAGAGCCTCTGTCCTATCACCTACTGATGGCAGAAGAGGGAGGCAGCCACCAGGGCATCTTCTCCAGTCCCTCAGGGTACAGGTGACAAAATGGAGGCTGCAGTGGTGCCCATAGCTCAGTGGGTAGGGCGCCAGCCACATGCACCAAGGCTGGGGGGTTCAAACCCAGCCCAGGCCAGCTAAACAACAATGACAACTGCAACAAAAATATAGCCAGATGTTGTGGCAGGTGCCTGTAGTCCAAGCTACTTGGGAGGCTGAGGCAAGAGAATCACTTAAGCCCAAGAGTTGGAGGTTGCTGTGAGCTGTGAAGCTTCAACACTCTACGAAGGGCAACATGATGAAACTCTGTCTCAGGCTCAGCGCCTGTGGCTCAAGTGGCTAAGGCGC